TAATAGAATGTTTGACCAAATAAATATAATGTTTGACTTACTATTAATGGAAAGTTCAAAAAAATACATGTGAATCTTTAGTAACAAAATCTAAATCCTATTTTTTGGTAACAAATTTGGAGATTCTTATGGCAAAATTTGAATTTCATTTTTTTCGCATCATATTTTAATTATTTACCAAAATTTAAATCATGTCTTTTTTGGTAATAAATTTAGAGATTCTTATGCAAAAAAATGTGTCAATTATTTATGAAATCAAATCCAAATACAAATTAATTTAAAATCCGTAAAACTTCTTCATATCATTTTTAGTTTTCTACCAAAATCTGAATCCCATATTTTTTGGTAACAAAATTTTTTATTGGCCGGATTTCCCTTTCTAATTTTCTAATAAAACAAAACTAATTTCAATTTATATTAAAAACATGAATGCCATAAGAATCCCTTTTTTTGTAAAAAAAAATTGAGATAGGTTGGATTTCTCTTTCCAATTTTTTATGAAATAAAACTAATTTCAATTCATTACGAAAATATGAATGTCATAAGACTCCCATTTTTTTTTTTTTTACAAAATGTGAGATACTTACTGTGGAAATAGTTATATTATTCTTAATAATTTCTTAACTAAGAGTTGAGTAATGGTAAATGCTAATTTTTCACAATGAAAATTGTGATATAAGCGAAAAAATTATTATGTTTAAAAACATAATAATTGATATGCACAATATCTCTGCTATGTGGTAACTAAATAGAAAACTCTGCATTTCCGTTCTGGCTAAGAGGAATCCCGTAACTCATGTTGGTATCGTGTTGTAACAACAATTTCATAATCAATCGGTTAATTTTAATATTTAGAAACTAATATGATTATTTTTTTTATAAATATGCGTAAAGTAAGAAATAATTAACTTATCTTTAGATATATAATTTATAATCTTAATATGTTGTCATTTGTTATAATTTACTTTTATTCTAATAATAGAATATTATTTAATTCATAAAGTTAAATATATTTAAGGAAAATAAAGAAATTTAATTGGACCAATCGGGTGATTAGATTAGGTTAATGCTCAGGTTGATTGGGTTACTTTTAGTTGATATTTAAAATAATTTAAAAATATGACACAACTGAGTTAATCTCGGGTGACTAAGTGACTAAGTTATGAGGCAATTTAGCCTTGATCTATTACTGAACTAAATATAATTTTTAATATCAAAAATACTTTATTACAATAAATGTAATGTAGTTTATACTCCAAATAATCATATTAAATGATTTTATGACAACATATTTAAAGATTTACAAACATTTATATATTGTTTTATTAATATTTATGTGAACAATATGATATTGCATGTCAACTTATTAATGTTCGGTAAATTCAAGGTTCTCAGAAGAGAACCGTTTTCAAAACGATCAAGTTATTTATTCCATAATTTATTGAATCCACCAGAATTTAATTTAGTAATATTTTAATATATGCATATACAATACTTTGTGTAATTAATTTATATAAAAAATATTAATTAAATATCTTAATAATTTCAAATTTTTCAAAATTTAAACTAACTGATAAATAATTTATAAATCTCTATTTTATATAAATATGTATTTTATTTATATTAAAAGAAATTATATGTAACAAAATTTATTTAAAAGTTCGTACTAATATTATTTGTCTGAGCAACTGGTGTTGACCGATTCACTAGGAAATATATTATTAAATTGAATCGGACTAGTCGATAAAGCGATTCCTAATACATCTTATTGGACTGTTCGGTCCGGTTCGGTTTTGAAAACGATGGGTAAATCATGAATAATGTTATTTATATATTTAATTTATAATACAATCGTATATTGTTTCCCGTGCATCGCACGGGCCACGTACTAGTATCATATAATATACTTGATAGATAAATTTAGTGTTTTTTTTAAAATAAATTCTAATTAGAATTGATAAATAACAATTTTTATTTTATAATGATATATATAATAATCATTATTTTTATATATGCTGTATGGATGCTAAATTGAATATAGTGAAAAAGATTATTTATTTGATATATGATATATGAAAATTGATTACAAAACAAGTTATTAGGTTTACTTATATATTTATGCTTTAAGTTAGTTTACTGTTTTTATAATTTAAAAAAAGTCCTAATAATAGATATGATAAAATGAATACTTAGATTACTCCAAAGCACCAAATTGACAAGTAGGATTACCAAATACGACAAATGATATGTAGGATTATGAAGGACCAGAAGTTGTAAAAAACTCTTCATTTATGCAAAGAGGGGCATAAGTGTCATATGCAATAAAATATTTATATTTAAGATTGTTTATTGGCAAGTAACACCTTGTACTTTCTACAATATGAATTGGACTTTTATTTTAGTTATATTAACAAAAACTGTCAATTAAAATTAAAAAAAAAAGGATTAAAAAAAGTCATATTACATGTAATATGGACCATATGTGTAGTAATCATTTTTACAGACTTATTGTCATGTAAATATAAATGATCAAACAATTTTCTATTTTTATATTTAAAAGTTTATCGATTTAAAAATTGTGAAATAAAAATGGAAATGATGGTGTCGCTGGTGATTTGAGCTGAGTGATGCATCTGTTTTGGAGAGAGCTTATTTCCCATGTTTTTGGTACACACCCCTCCAACATCTACCAAAATAGGTGAATTAATAAATAAATAATAAATAATACAATATGCAATTGGAACTTAACACCCCATATTAATTGTTTCTCTTCTTCTTTTTTTTCACTGTGAGAAAAATATTTGCAAATATATTTTGGAATATAATTAAAGGTGTGATTGTGTGTAAGATGAAAATGCAATGACTATAGTTGTGTGATGCAAAACTTATAAATTTTAATTGATATTTCATCTGAGTAGATTGATAGTTAGTTTTATAAGGAAATATGCATTAATTATTGAGTTTTATTTGAAAATTGTATTTATATAATTTTTGAAAGAAAAAGAGAAATAAATGAATTTTGTATTTTTCTTTTCAGAAAAATTTATAGCTAGAAAAAAATGAGAAGAAGTGAAGTCCATATGTAACCACTATCAAAATATTTTTTGTCAGTGGAGTTATAACTATGTAGTCCTCAAATAAAGTTGAAAATCTGTTGCATGTTAGGACTATAACCGTAATCCAACACTTGGAGGGGGCATTTTGGGATTTCAGGGATAGCACTATGGACATATATTTTGTTTATGTTTTTCTTCAGAAAACTACACTAAATGATCATAGCTATCACACAAATTTGGAACAGGGATTATAGTTGAGTGTTCAGCTCAAAGGTAATTCCTTTGATATATGCTGTTTTGTAACAATATCTCAAACAATAACATTCCTCATTCTTAACCCTGTAAGTTTTTTTTTTTCTTCACATCTTGATAAATTATCTTGAGAATGGATCCATTCTCGCATGGCGTCCGATTTCAAGTAAATCATTTCTTTTTTGTTTTTTAGCAAGAATTTTGAATGGCTTGTTCCAGCAGTGGGGAATTTCAGCCATGGATACATGGAACATTAGTGGTGAGTTATGCAGCGGTGTGGCCTCAGACACGACAACCCCACTTCTCAATCTTAATCCAGGCATCAAATGTGACTGCTCCTACAATTCTAACACCACTTGTCACATCACTGGATTGTAAGCTTTGGAATTTCAACTTTATGAATTTGACTTGACTGGGAGAGATATACTTTTATTGAAACATTTTACTTATATAAACACATCTCTGCTTAATTTTAGCTGTTGTAATCCACTAGCAATGTTAGTTACTTCTTGGATCGCTGTTTGTGACTGGATCACCATTTAATTTTTCTGTTTAATTAGAAATGAACAATTTAATTGTTACCCTGCTATCTCATTAATTTGCAGGCGGCTGTATGACCTGGACATTCAAGGCTCATTACCCGATGACCTTTGGAGCTTGACGTATCTCGATGATTTGTACGATTATCTGCACTGGGTTTTATTCAGATATATAGTTGTATAGTATAATTTTAATATATATCTTTATACATGTACACTGATTTTCTCTCTGCTGTTTTCAGAGATCTGCGCCAGAATTATTTTACCGGTCCAATTTCTTCGTCCATTGGGAATCTCACTCGAATGCAATACTTGTACTTTTACCATTTTTGTCTTCTTCTTCTTGTTTTTTTTTTATTTTTTTTTTGCTGAAAATATAGACCCAATCTTGAAATTTGAAATTTCTTCAAACTTTTAGGAGCTTTGGCTTGAATGCATTGTCAGGGGAGCTTCCTAGGGAATTTGGACTGATGACTGACTTACGATCAATGTGAGTTTAAATTGCTGTTTAACTAGGAAAAAACAGTTGCGATTGTATCATAGAGCATATTAGAAAAAAAAAAATGCCGATATATATTTACTTATGTGTACTTATTTGAACATAATGTGCAGATCTATCACAGCAAACAACTTCTCTGGGCCCATACCGTCTGAGTTCGGGAATTTAACAAGGCTCGAACAAATGTATGCGTTGTATAGAACTTAATCATGGTTAAGGAATATGTTCTATGTTTACATGCACTGCCTGAACATTTTGGCTGACCTGATTTTTCTTTTCTTTCTTTTCTTTTCTCCTCGTTGGTCTTTTGTTATCATCATGTCAGGTACATTCATGGTTCCGGAATTAGTGGTCCAATACCGTTATCATTTGCTAATCTGATAAACATGCAGACAATGTAAGTCTTTATTGTTGTTGTTGTTGTTGTTATTATTACTTTATTATTTTACTCCACCTGCCTAAAGTGAATCCTAAGTGAAACACTAAATCAAACTCTTGATGATCATTTATTATCAGGTGGGCATCTGATAATGAGCTGACAGGTCAGATACCTGACTTCATAGGAAATTGGTCCAGCCTCACTCAGCTGTGAGAGAAAATCTACTTTCTATTAATTATGCTGAAGTACTCCATAGAGTAACTTTTACTATCATCTGTTTTTATACAATTTTTCTATACAGGAGGTTGCAGGGAAATGCATTTCAAGGTCCAATACCACCGTCATTATCCAATTTAACGTTGTTGGTTGACTTGTGAGTTTAATCAACTTCTTCCACTCTTGAATTTCAATGATATTGTTTAGGATTAAACTATAAATAACTGAAGGTTTGACTTAATTACAATTAGCGAACAAAACCTAGGTAGCTTCTGAAACTATAGATGAAACATGTGGGTTTCTGTTTTCTAGTTTCGAAAGTTGGCTATTGTTTCAAGCTTTATGTTTGTGCTCTAAAGGAGCTAATTTTTTTTTTAATCATGTATATATGATATGATTTGTGTAGGAGAATAAGTGATATATTGAACGGTAGCTCGTCACTGGAATTTGTTAGAGATATGACTTCTCTGTCCACATTGTAAGAAAATCTCCACTTTTTTAATTATGTCATGCAAAATGTTCCCTTATTTCCATTGACAAATATTAAGCATGGCTTGTTATCTTGGCAGAATCTTAAGGAACAATAATATTTCTGGTTCCTTACCTTCGTTTTCCTTATTTCAGCGCTTGCAGCTCCTGTAAGTATAAATTATCCATGCACTATCATGTGGGACCCACTATGATGTTATTTATTTTTTGTATGGCTGCTTTTGATTTAAATTATCCGAAAATGCCATGGTCTGTTTTCTGTTTTAGGGATTTGAGCTTCAACAATTTGACAGGAAGAATTCCAGACTCACTTTTCAATCACAGCACCCTGACCAATTTGTAATCATTCCATATAAACTATCTGCTCTATGCACAACTTCCAAAAGCCGTTTATTGTAGTTTTCTTATTGATTTATTTTTTTTTCTTTTTATTCATCAGGTTTCTCGGTAGCAACAGGCTAACAGGTGGATTGCCATTGCAAAAGAGTCCTGATCTCCGAAATATGTCAGCTAGTGAAATGATTTATTGTCTTCTGTTTTTCTATTACTTTTGTAAGCTTAGTCACGAGCCATGAGTACTTAGTTGCTATTATTATTTGCGTGCAGAGATTTATCGTACAACAGGTTATCCGGAAGCTTTCCATCTTGGATCAGGGAACAGAACCTACAACTGTATGTTTGATGAAAACATTTTGTTAACTCAAAAAAGTTGCTTGTTATAAAATTGTTCGTCTACCTTTCTGGGCCAACTTTTGATTCATCATGTTTTTTTCATATGCAGTAATCTGGTTGCCAACAACTTCACCATTGAAGGTTCTAACAGCAAGTGTGTACATAACCAACTATCGAGCCAATTATTCTTTAGATTTTGATTCGATTAGTTTGTCACAACAACGTTGGTTTTTGGCATATTTAGTTGTCTCATACATTAGCCACATTAACCAATCTCTTTTATTCTGCTGTCCAGTGCTTTACCCCCTGGTTTGAACTGTCTTCAGAGGGATTTTCCTTGCAATCGACGTGTTCCAGTATGTAAGTAATGAGATGAATTTCTTTTAAGGCTAAATTGCATTTTTAGTCCTGCTGATTTAATGTCATAGCATTTTTAGTCCCAAGATTCTAATTTTTTTTTTTTTTTATTTTGGTCCTGTAATTTAATATTTTGCTGCAATCTATATCTATATATACTAGTACGAATCCCGTGCGATGCACGGGCAAGAGATATTCATCAATATTTATGAATTAAAAATACTAATTAAATAATATTTATAATTAAAATATAAAATCAATATGTAATACAATTTACCTATATTAATTTATTGAAAATGCTATATGAAATTTAAATTGTGCAAAATTACATAAAACATGTCTATTTAAAATTAGTACGCAACCCATACGGTGCATGTAACTGATAATAAATTACATTATAATCATAAATTTCATTTTAAAATTTTTATTCATAAATTTGATTTGACTACAATGTGATTCTATAGAAAAAAAATAAAAATTTTATCAAATATTTAAAAATCTATGTGAATAATAAGTATAATTATAAAACTTATATTGCTCCATTAAATATAAAGAATTTATTTTTGTATAAAATATTCAAATTAACCAGAGCTTTTTCTATATAAAAAAAACATCGATACACGCACATTATATCAAAATATCAATTCATAATATTTTGTTAGAGTTACGATAATTTTATTATGTTAATTTCATACAAAATTGAAACTCACGCCTAAAAACCAATATATTGGCATGCGCATTACAAAAAAGAGTACACCATACATTGATTAAGTTTTTAACAAATTTTCTACCAAAAAATAGTCATCAAATAACCTAAATAAATTTGCTCACTTTATATCATATATTGATTAATTTATTTCCTATAGAAACAACCATCAATACCGAAAATAAATTCGTCCACTTTATTACATATATTAATTAATTCAAATGATTTGAGTAATTACGGTATCTTAAAATATGGCTTAATTACTTCCTTAAATAATTAGCCGTAATTTCCATAAGTGATCATTTGATATATACAAATTATATTACATGAAAAGTTCTAATGTAGTGTTCCAAACAACATATTACAAATACTAAAAATAAAAATGGTTGTTTGAGACATTTAGCTCATTTTCGGATAGTGAGCGGGGGAAGATGAATCTTCTTACCATTTTTTATTTTAGATAAAAATCTTTTGTTTTTTGGTCAAGATAGTATCAAATTTAAACTATGCAACTAATAAAAGTAATAGCCGCAATATTTGATCAAATAAATATAATGTTTGACTTACTATTAATGGAAAGTTAAAAAAAACACATGTGAATCTTTAGTAACAAAATTTAAATCCAATTTTTTTTGTAACAAATTTGGAGATTTTTATGGCAAAATTTGAATCCCATTTTTTTCGTATCATATTTCTTTTTTTTACCAAAATTTAAACCATATCTTTTTCGTAACAATTTTGGAGATTCTTATGCAAAAAATGTGTCAATTAAAATTTTGTTGTAATTTTAGTCATGTTGTTTAAAATTTTGTTGCGGTTTCAGTCCTCAAAGGACTGAAATTACAACAACATATTAAATCATAGGACCAAAAGGCAAAATTGGAACCTTGGGACTAAAACTGTTATGGTGTTAAACCATTTTTGTCTTCTTTTTAACATATACACCCATTTTGTGTCGTTTGCACAAATTAGCAAGTCAACATTCTATTTTGCACATGAATACTTAACAAACATGACTCAAATCATGACCTTATAGCTGACAAAGTCTAGTCTATGAAACAATTTAACAAATAATATTCAAAAACCATTTATATTCATGAAAATTCGACTGGGTTGATCCTATTCGGCAGACTCGAGATTTGCAATCAAATGTGGCGGGCCTCAGATCATATCTTTCGACCGAACTCTTTACGAGAGGGAGAACGAGACACTTGGGCCGGCCACATATTACGTGACTAATGACCGAAGGTGGGCCGTCAGCAATGCTGGGCTCGTTGCTGACAACACAAACCCACAGTACACGACCCAGACAACTTCGCCCGTTGTGAATACTCTGGACTCACAGCTGTACCAAACTGCTCGGGCCTCTTCGGGCTCTTTGAGATATTATGGGCTGGGCCTCGAAAACGGTAACTACACTGTAAGGCTCCAGTTTACGGAGACTGAGGTCCTCAATACGAGGACTTGGGAGAGCCGCGGCCGGCGTGTTTTTGATATTTACCTCCAGGTTTACCTTTTATATTTTATATATATGTATATATATGTGTGTGTGTGTGTGTGTGTGTATTTCAGTTAGGTTGTATAGTTTCTTATTTCATGAACTCTGCTTGTTTTTGTTTAATGATATATCCAATTCTAGGGGAATCTGCAAGAAAGGGATTTTGATATACGACGAGCGGCTGGTGGCGTATCTTTAAGAGCCGTTGACAGGAGCTACAATGTGCGAGTGACTGACAATTACCTTGAAATCCATCTATTTTGGGCGGGAAAGGGAACTTGCTGTGGGCCTTCTCGAGCTGTCAACGGGCCTTTAATTTCGGGAATAAGGGCGACAGCAAGTAAGTAAGGGTGTGATTGGTTATAAACTTTAAAGAAAAAAAAGCCAACCAAAATTCAAATTTAACTCAATGTCAATATAATTAAATAATATCAATCAATCATTCTTACACATCACATTAACTTTAATTCACTGTTCATCGAACTCACATAATTTCAACTGATCATCACTTCCAATCATTTTTCTCCTACTTTTACATCAAATCAACTTTAATTATTTTATTTTAAACAATATTTTAATTTAAACTTAAATTCGGACTAACAACTAAACATACCACCTTTTTTATAATTAACTATGGCTAAAAAAAAACCAATCAAAACCAATCAAATCCATACCAATCATATAAATAAATAGAATGTGGAAGTAGCTGGCTAAATGAATATTCAGAAGTTTTGTTTTCTTTGTTTATATGCCTCTGAAACCTATACTGATTAATAAATTTTTCTGGACAGATTTCAACTCAACTGTTTCGAATATTCCTCCAAGCGGGAGCAGAAACCGGACTGGTCTCATTGTGGGTATTGTTGTTCCAGTTGTAGCTGTCAGTGTGATTTGTTTACTTATGGTATACTTTTACGTGTATCAAAGGAGAAAACGGCAGAAGGACTTGGAGGATGAAGGCAAGACATTCATTTTACAACAGAAACCAAAGACTTGATCGATCTTTTTCATCAAAACTAATGGCCTCAAACATGTGTATTAATAACTATGGGTTTTTACAGAGTTACTGGGGCTCGAAGCACGACCTTACACTTTCAGTTTTGCCGAACTTAAAGCCGCTACGAATGACTTCAATGCTGATAATAAGCTGGGAGAGGGAGGTTTTGGACCTGTTTACAAGGTGAATGCTAAATTTCATTTTTTTTTTTCTTTTTTTTTTAATGGGTTCAGAAGTTTTTATTGCATATTGACTGAAAAGTTTATAGCATTGCAAAATGTTGGGCAATTTTCAATCAAACCAATCTAAACATGAATAAGCTGATATACCTCAATCACACGCTTTCATATGTTTATCAAACAGCATAAATAGATTGTAGCAGAACATGCCATTTCTGCTAAATTTTTTAGATCCTTGCTATGAAATTCACAGTGGCTATAACTTTATATATTAGCATAGTTGCAAGTTATGAATGAATTATTGTACTTGGGAAAAACAGGGTTCACTTGGAGATGGGAGAGCAGTTGCAGTGAAGCAACTGTCAGTGGCATCACGTCAGGGAAAGAGTCAGTTCCTTGCGGAAATTGCCACAATATCCGCCGTGCAACACCGTAACCTTGTGAAACTGTACGGCTGTTGTATCGAGGGTGATAAACGCTTGCTCGTCTATGAGTATCTCGAGAACAAGAGCCTCGACCAAATATTGTTTGGACCTGGTAAAATCACATCATCATCAGCTTTTCTATTATTTGATATTTGGGATTGAGAATGACATAAATTGATGAAACTTAACTTCAGGAAGGAAAAGTTTATTCCTGGACTGGGGAACACGTTACCAGATTTGCTTGGGGGTTGCAAGAGGTCTCGCGTACCTTCACGAGGAATCACGGCCTAGAATTGTTCACCGGGACGTGAAGGCCAGTAACATCTTGCTTGATTCCGAACTTGCCCCTAAGATCTCGGATTTCGGATTGGCCAAATTGTATGATGACAAAATGACACACATGAGCACTGGAGTAGCAGGCACAATGTAAGTGATGCTATCACAAATTCTCAGTTTTCAGTTCCTTTTTTATTTCATTCTTTATTTAATTATTTTTGGGAATCCATTTTCTTTGTAGTGGTTATCTAGCACCGGAATATGCCCTGCGAGGGCATCTCACGGAGAAGGCTGATGTGTTCAGTTATGGAGTCGTTGCCTTAGAGATCGTCAGTGGAAGGTCGAATTCAGACTCGAGTTTGCAAGATGATAAGACATATCTTCTTGATTGGGTACGTATAAATCATACGTAGCAATTAATTATTATCTTGATCAGTCACCTCATATAAATCATACGAAGTAATAAAAAACCCGAATGAAGAAGTGAAAAGCTAAAATTTTGTGGATACATACGTTTTTTCATTTTTTTTGTCGGAACTACGGTTGGATATAAATTTTTATCTCGAAATCCAACTCAAATCCATTCCAATTTAATCCTCCTCAATATTATCAATATAATTAACTGCTATCAATCAACACAATCTCAAACAGAATTCACTATTCGTCCACTCACATACTTTTAACCACTAACCATTATTTTACCATCTTTACATAACACATCAGCTTTACATTTTAACTCGTATCTATTCACAAACTCAAAATCAAATCCAAATTTTCACCCAATCAACTTTTTTCAATCTTAACCCACTCCATGAAAACCAAATCAAATCAAATCTAAAAAAAAAATGACTTCCAATCGCACTTTTTTCTCTCTCTCTCTCTCTCTCTCTCTCTCGTCAGGCTTGGAACCTGCACGAGTCCAAGCGTGAAATGGAGCTTGTGGACCCCACTCTAGAACAACAAGACATGGATGAGGCTATAAGAATTATAGGGGTGGCCCTCCTATGCACCCAGGGCCCACCGGGCCTTCGGCCCGCGATGTCTCGAGTGGTGTCGATGATCTGTGGGGACATTGAGGTGGCGCCTGTCACGACACGCCCAAGCTACCTCACCGACTGGAATTTCAACGACTCAACCACCACTTTTGCTACCGACACAACTAACATCTCGACTTCCAACAACACCAATGATATCATTAGTCCCATCAATTTCACCACGACAAACACATCGGCGACAAGTGGTACTTCCTTGGCCGCTCGTTCGCAACAAAAGGATGATGTGGAGCCAATGCTCGACAAGTGAGTTGCGGCTCGATTGATTGGTTTTGTTTGTGTGTGTTTTTGTGTGAGAGAGAGGGATGTTGAAAGAATTTTGGAGTGTAATTAATTCTGTAAATTCTTGTTTCTTTTGTGATACGGTATGGAGTATACAAACCATTGGACAGTTATTTGAATTTGAATGCATCACATATTTGATTTCGTGTCAATCTAGATCTTGAAATGTCGCAACTTTGGATGTATTTACCATATGATTTGGTGGGATAAACGTGGAAAAAAATGAGTAATCAGTGTTACAAGACAAGATTCGTGACCTTAAGACAGAGTAACCTGTTTTGAACAGGAAGAGTACATCTCGTTTATGTTCGCGTACTTAAAAGTTGAAACTATGTTACAAGGTAGCGAAATACTTGGAAAACTAAACAACAAATCGTGGTTGTAATATAGTTGTGACTATTATCGCTTGTCCCTTTGGGGAACTTGGGTTATACATCAGTTTGGGATATAAAAAAATCTTAGTGAAGAAGTTTTGGCTTAACAAAGTTTTGATAATCATAGCACATTTACATCAAGTCGTTGTAGTATAGTGGTGAGTATTCCCGCCTGTCACGCGGGTGACCCGGGTTCGATCCCCGGCAACGGCGTCTTTTTTTTCTTTTTCGTTTTGTTATGTACATTAGTTAAAAATGATAAGGTACTTGTTTATTTCAAGAAGCCCGTCTAGCTCAGTCGGTAGAGCGCAAGGCTCTTAACCTTGTGGTCGTGGGTTCGAGCCCCACGGTGGGCGTTTTGTACTTTCTCAAGAAGATCCATCATTTAAGAGACAAAACTATTTTGATTATTCAAGGACCCATAAAATTGTCTAAAATAAAGGCAATAACCTTTTTTTCAGGAGAAAATTATTTTTTTATTTAAAATGTAATTTTAAATTTTATTTCTCAATTTGAAAAAGTTCATCTACCCAACTTTTCAAAATTAGTTTCTTTTATCCAAAAAGCTAATTGCTTGAAACAATTACTCTTGCACAACTTTTNTTATTTTTTAATAAAAGTAACTTCCGAAAGAGATCCAAGTTGTAATACTGAATTTCTTACCCACGAAAATAATGGTTTAGTTCTTGCACTTTTTAGATGGACTTTTAAATTTAAAAGTATATTTAAAAAAATAAATGTTTGATGAAAAAATTTAAAATGACTGAGCGCGCGCATAGTAGAAATTTCGGTTGACATATTGGTTTATATGATCCATTGCATGTGACTGAGCGCACAGTATGATGGCGGAGGTATGAGTGTGGTCTTTATCGACAACCTCAATGACATAATTAGATATTTGATCCTAAAGGCCCAATCTATATATATATAATAAGAATTATCATTTACTAAAAATAGTAGCCGAAAATTTAGGAAACATTTAATGCATACTATTTTTTGAAACTTTTTAAATATATGCATTAATTGCTTCCATATACACCTTTTCAAATAAGATCAAATAAGATATGATCAAAAAATTATTTAAATAAATGTATTAATATTTGTAATATTTTCATTGATATTTATTATAATAAATTACAAGATTGATTTTCTGTGATTCATGTTGATAATAATTTGGTCAAGATAAATATTATTTTATCAATATTTGTAATACTTTCATTGATATTGATTATAACAAATTACAAGACTGATTTTCATGATCCATGTTGATAATATTTTGGTCAAGATAAATATTACACCATATTTTAAGTTCTAACCAAAAAAAAAAATTTTATTTCACAAATATTCACTTTTTATCCAAAAATATTTATAAAAAATTGTAACAGGTTAGGTAGATCTTTTTTTCTATGTAATTAAACAAAATCAAGTTGGTGAATTAATCTTTGCCAATATATTTTTTTCTTAAAATTTATTTTGTTAAATATAAAAAATAAATTATTCTTCAAATTAATATAATTTATTATTTAAGAGATAATGACCAGATACATTAAATAGTTTTACTAATGGTAAAAAATTAAAATTGAAATATATTAATTATTTTTTAGAATTTATTTGTATATTATTGGCACCCATGATTATTTTTTTATTTTTTTATTTTCATTATTTATATAATTAAATTATTTTAAAATATATTTTTCATTGCAGAATATGCTAAATAAACTATAAATCCTTATAATGCGAATTTGAAAAATCTTTATCATAGAAGGGATTGGGGTTTTTGCATTTTCTAAATCAAAGTTATTTAATTTTATACAAAATTAAATTTAAAAAAACATGTGTATATTTTGTAAAATACTTATACACTATTTAATTTTAAATTTATTTACATATTTTAAACTGATTATATAAATAAATAATACTAACGTGCATTAAATATTTTTCATTACATAAAATAAAAAGAAAAAGAAGGCGTACAAGTTCTATGACTTTCTAAATAATAATGACATTATATGACAACAGAGTTTATAATAAAATAACAATTAAGTATTATATGGTGAACAATAATAAGTAAAACTGTTATTCTCTCTTATATCAAGGAATAAATATATATATTAAAATCAAATTTATATTAGTATAAATGTGTTAGTGAGATAATATATTAATTATTTTACAAGCTAGCTATATTTAATGTTTTGACTAAAAAAACAACGCTGATTAAAGGAGGTGCAAAATAGATTGTAACCTTATTGTTTATTACACTTAACGCTGATTAAAAGAGGTGGAAAATAGATGATAACCCTATTGCTTTATATACTTAGGACAAAGCCTGTAAAAATAACTCATTTAATATTTCTGTCCCGTGTATCGCACGGGGTACGTACTAGTTAATTTCCAAAACAAACATTTATCATTACGGAATATTATAAATTACTCCAACTCTCACCACCTCTCTCTCTCTCTCTCTCTCTCTCTCTCTCTCTCTCTATATATATATATATATATATACACACGCACACACACATATATAGGGATGGATTAAATGTGATGTGCTCTCGCACCTCGAACCGGCCTTCCAACGATCCTCAACCGCTTTGCTCTCCGGAGACCTGCAAAGACGCCGGGAGGTGTTCACAGTGTTAAACCTCCAACGATAATGATTATGAAAAATTGTATAGAACTGTATGGAATAGCTTAAAGTATAGAGTGTGATTAATCTTACCTCTTCCCCAAATTTACCTATTTATAGAAGATTATTAGCTTCCTCGTTTTGTTCTCCTCCATTTGATCATTAATTTATTCTTTTCTTTTTTATCCTGACCCTATTCGTTGGGAAATTATTCATTGGTAATTCGTTGCCAAAATATCTGTTGGTAATCCGTTGCTAAAATATCCGTTGGTAATCCGTTAGTAAATCTGAAACTAATTTGTTGGCTTTGTGTTATTAATTTGCCAACAGAATTATTTACCAACTACATTATTTGTTGAGAATCTCATGACAATGTTTCCGTTGCAAATTCGTTATTAAGCAGTTGGAATTATTCCCAACGGATTGTATTTTTTGTTGCAATAATAGCAACAAGCCATATAACAACAAAAAACCAGTTGGCATTCTATTGGAAAACTTGAATGTCTACAGATTATTCCGTTGATAGAATACATATTTGTTGTAGTGGTCCGAAGAATAATGTATTTATACGTGCTTCAACCATATTTTATTCATTCATTTTTATTTTTATTTTTTTTATTCTTTATCATTCTTAGTCATTTTGTTGATATCCACAAACACCCTAATTTATTTATTAAGAACACATTTCTATTATAGAAGTAAAGCCTATATGCCTATACAGTGCATTCTCAAAGTACCAACTTTTAAGCAACTTCTTCCTCCCTTCCTCCCACAAGATCATACATATAAAAAAACAATGTGACTTAAAAAAAGAAAAAGAAAAAGTATAAAGTGAAACAAAAACATTGGCAGTTTTATGCCGGCCGAATAAGTAACACTAGTGAAAACTAAATCTAAAAATATTTATGTGATGTATAATGTATTTAAATTCTTTGCCTTGCTGTTAGTAACTTATATTAAAATCGTACATGCGGGAAAAAAAGCCTGTTAAAGCTCACCACTTCATGTCCATAAAGTCTGCCACTTAGACTTAACGCACTCGAGAATCATATATAGAGGTGATTATTGATGGACCAATTTTATAAATTTTATCATTACGAGGAACATGGATGCATGAAAATTGTTTAATTTTTCTAATTCTTAAAAATATTATTTACTCCATCCTCAAACTGAAATATAATTGCTCTGACTACTGACTTCATTGTTGTCAAATAATTTAGGGTGTGATTGTTTATATTTTCTACAGTAAATATCCCACTCAAAACTCAAATTTAACTCAACTTTAACTCAACTACACTATCTCCAATATTATCAATATAATTAAATAATATCAAAAAATCATTATTACACATCACATCAACTTTAATTCACTATTCACACACTCATATAATTTTAACTAACCATCACTTCCAATCATTTTCTCCTACTTTTATATCAAATCAATTTTAATTATTTTAATTTAAATATTATTTTAATATATCCAGTAACAACTAACCATACTACTTTTTTTCAAATTTAACTATAGTTAAAAAAAAACTAGTTTTTTACTAGTTGAATTCATATCCAATCACCCCCTTAATGATTCACGCTAAAAAATCTAGTAGGTAGAGATAAATCCCAATTTAAATTTAAAGTTCCATAATAATAATAATAATAAATAAATAAATAAAAATTAGAGTTCGCTCCTTGTTCTGACATATTTTGGATCTTCGTATGTATATGGATCTCAGTCCTCAGAAAACAGAAACTCATCTGTGCCTCCAACAATATGTACGTTGCCTCCAACACTAGGTTTCTTAATTTTTTATACTTAATATATATATATATATATATATATATATATATGTGTTAATTTTTGGGTGATTAAATTATATTATGTCCATATCTTTGTTGCTAAGTAAACCTCTGCCCAAGCATAATCCCACATTAGTCAATTCTCTCACGCTTCAACAACGTGGGGGAATTTTAAAATTCACATCCACATTCTTGTTTTGTTTAAAACATATATATGAAATAATTGTTATTTCAAAAAATTAAAAAGTTAGCCGACTTGTGCAGCTGTTTGCTTCATATATCAGCCACCTCAAAGTAATTACATCAATGATTATACCAAACTTGTGTAATATTCAGGAAAGAAAAAACCAAACTTAGCAAAAACATTTTGATAGTAATATCACTACTAGAAATTGGTCTATTACTAACCAAATTTTGCAACTGAATTTGAATTGTTACAATAGTAACAAGGATTTAAATACGGAATATACTTTCAGAAACGAAATGTACTTCAAACAATTGTATTTGTGTTAGTAACGAAATTTGTGACGAACTCATTATGTTACAAACAAACATAAATTTCAATTTAAACACTTAAAATTCTATCTTATTTCTAATTTATATAATATTAATATAAATTATAAATATTTCATTTATTATCTTTACAAGCCGCAAACACTAGAGTAAAATTCGTCTAAATTGGACTAAATGAGCTAAACTCAATGCCCCAATTTTTAGCGAAAAGTTCGAGAAGTCATGTAGAAAAAGTTCGAGAAGTAGATCACTTTACCGGCTCATGTAGATACTCCTTTAGATAGATGTTTAATTGATACACTAAATTCGGCTTAGTCGGACTCTATAACGCTTACGATTTTGTCTGGGTGGACAATAAATCATTGTAATGGTAAATCGACACATAGGAGCTCTCGGCGCTCCTCGATGGACACGACGATGTGGGTGCGCCATGCCTAAACTCTTTTTTGTTGCTATTATTATTATTATTATTATTATTATTATTATTATTATTATTATTATTATTATTATTATTATTTTGAAGCTCTTTTAGTATTAGAATTAAGAATATTTTTGCATTTTTCATTTTTTATGTATACCAAAGAAACTTTTCTAATCCAGCTATTGAAATGGTTTTCTATACTCCTAACAAGTGAGAGGAACTATCATAACAAGAAGGGCCAGAAATAACACTACAATATAACAAAAAGGGCAAAACAAGTAGAACCATCGGTCACTCACGTTCAACTCTTTGTTCTTCTTCACTCCAACTTATTTCTTATCGTCCAACCACTGCTGTCACTAGGGGTGTTTAGATTTCGACTAAAACCGAACAAACCGACCGAACCGAATCCGGCTCGGTCGGCTTTCGATTGTAGTCGAATTAAATTTCGGTTATTTCGGTCGCTTTCGGTTTCGAACATCAAATGTCCGAAATAACATAATCGACCGAATAATATATGTAAATATTATACTATATTATATTATACTCTATATTATAATAATATATCATATATTATATAATTGATACTGCCATAAATAGCACTTCATGAAAATGTCTTGAAATAATGTTTCTTGATTACACATTTCTTAAATTATATTTTTGCTTCAAGAAAATGTCGGACTGGTTAGTCATTTTTGGCTTTTAGTTTGGTACATATATTTTTTATTTGAATTATTTAGTTTTTCTACATCTTTTAGTTAAAGATTTAATTTCATTTGCAATTTTTCTCTATGGAATATTTAGTTTTCCTAGATCTTTTAATTAATGATCATTTACAATTTTTCTCTATGGAATATTTAATTTTCCTAGATCTTTTAGTTAATAATTTAATTTCTTCTACAACTTTTATCTATGGACTAAGATAAATTTTAATCCTAGGTGTCGACCATCTATATGATACTCATTTTCTTGTAGCATCTTTTGTTTTGGTTTGTATTTCCTTATACAATTTACAGTTATATTAATAATATGAAAATAAGATATTGTAAGTATGATAACTAATTAAATTGAAATATGGTAGGCTAACTTTTATAATTTATTTTAAAAAAAAAAGTTATAAACGTAAATTTAATAAATAATTATTGAGTTGCACAGGTTAATAAATAGGGAGTTGTAATTAATTAATAAATATTGAGTAGTAATTAATAAATAGGTAAAGTTAATAATAAATAGGGAGATGTAGTTAATTAATAAATATTGAGTTGTAATTAATAAATAAATTAAGTGAATAACCCACAGTTCAAGCATAATAACTACCACATCCTATATCAAATAACTGACCACGTCTAAAACTCTTCTATTAACTACTGAACTCCAAATCATCTTATTACCTATTAACGTCTAAAACTCTTCTATTAACTACTGAACTCCAAATCATCTTATTACCTATTAACTGACCACGTCTAAAACTCTTCTATTAACTACCGAACTCTAAATCATCTTATTACCTACTGAACGCAATTACATTTTGAGTATTACACTCATACATTTATTTGGCAGTCATACTTCTATGGGAGTGAAACGTCAAAGAATAGGATGGGATTTGAATTATCCGCGAGAGTCTGTAAGTGCAATTTTTTTTTCTTCTTTTCACCAATATATGATACGACATAATAATTTGATTACACAAGAATGTAACACTAGAGAGAAGGCATCGATATTGCAGCTGGACTTGAATAAGGTACCAACAGGGGTTCATATCAGCGAAGCATTACGGTATCTTGACTTGAACAAGCTGTCAATGTATGACGGGTTCATCTCTGCGGCACAAGAACGAGAGAAGGCTCAGCGAGTTCTATTGAGGCATAATCATGAAATGTTAAAAATATTACTTCCAATTTTATTTGAGGATATAAAATGATTAGTAGTTTGTATTAATTGTACATTGATGTTTTATCAATTGAATTTTTTATTATTGTATTGATGAAATAAAATAATTGTATTTTATTTTATTTTTCTTTAATCTTGCTTGTTTTTTTTCAGTGGTATTAATGAATTCATTAGATGCAAAACAATTTTACTGAATGCAACAATAAAAAATGGAATATGCCATTATATTGTAATTGTCACTAATATTAAGATATTTAGAACAAAACAATCCGTTTTTAATTTGGTTTCTATTGCTGATTAGTTAGGAACAAATAATCTCGTTTCTAATTTAGTTTCTATTACTGAATAATTAGGAACAAATAATCTCGTTTCTAATTTGGTTTCTATTACTGAATAATTAGGAACAAATAATCTCGTTTCTAATTTGGTTTCTATTACTCATTAATTAGTAACAAATAGTCTCGTTTCTAATTTGGTTGTTATTTCTCGAAGACTAGAAACGGCTTGCTTGTTACAAAAGCCGTTACTGATAGCAACGGAACGGAATCCGTCTCTGAGCATCAGAACCCTTGTTTTCACTAATCAATAATGAAACGGATTTTTTTGTTCCTATTATTTATTAGCAACAGAAAATGAACTTTAACCAACGGAATTTTTTGTTCTTGATGATTCATATTCTAGTAGTGATATATCTAATGACTTTAATTGAATTGAGGGAACTATTTTCCCACCGGACTTTACCCTTTCCCCAAATTTTCCTGCTAAAACTATTATAATTAAATCATTTATTCATATCTATTGTTATAGGTTCTATAATTCTATTCCATGGACTAAAAAATTTAGAAGGGCATTGTAGGTCACAATAAATTAAAGAGAAATAGATAATATTGTACATAGATGTGTACATAACACTTACATTAAGTAGATCCTACTAAAAATAAAAAATCAAGTGGACCCCACTTCATGTAATTGTTATTAGAGATGTTAAACGAGCTAACCCTAGCGGGCTTCGGACTAGGTCTGGGCCTAAAAAACCCGGATTTAAACGGGCTACTAAAAAAAGGACCTAACCCTAAACCTAGCGGGCTTCGGGCTAAACGGGCTATACGGGCTATAACAATAACAATAATAATAATAATAATAATAATAATAATAATTAATTACAACACCTAGTTAACGATTTTTTTCAACGGTTATTTACTATTTACCACTATATATATACAACTACACTTCATATATGAACACACATTACAAACTCTTAAATAATATAATGTTTCTCAATAGAAAAAAAAATGTTCGAACTATTACTTATAACTACCATTTGACTAGTTATTTGGTACGTTTCGGGAATTTTCACAATATAACATATTGGTGGATTTATATTCTATCACTATATTCTACGTGTTAGATTTTTGTCTCATTTGTTTTTTATTAGCTGTTCTGATTGGCTTAAAAATTTTGCTATGAAATAAAGTAAAATTTGTTAATAATTATCTATCAAAATAATAATAATAATACATTATAACTCATAATTACATGTGAAGTAGAATAGCAAACTTGTAATATATAAGGATGAGACATATTACTAACCTTTCTTAAAACATATACACCACCCAGCCCAAGTTAAACGGGCTAGCACTAGCAGTTTTCGAGCTAGCCCTAACGGGCTTCGGGCTAAACGGTTCGGGCCTAAAAAGCCCGGATTTAAACAGGCTGGCAATAAAAGGCTCTAACCCTATTTTTGTTCGGGCTAAACGGGCCGGCACGTCGGACCAAAGACCATTTAACATCTTTAATTGTTATATACACCTCTATGTACATTTATTATATTACGTAATTGTAACATTTTTCTAAATTAAATAATAAAGGATAACAGCATTAATGTGGTGAGTACAAGTGTACAACTCAAGTGCCCTCTATAATTAAGATCCACCTATAAATACTAGGCTCATCATCATTCACTTTTATCAAAATTCAAAACTAACCTCTCTCTCTCTCACTTTCTCTCTTCCTCTCCACACAAAAACTATCACCAAACCAAAACAAATTAAAAGAAACATAATTTCATATAATTTACCGAAAAAAATAAAAAGATGGAGCAAAATTTACCAATAGTGGCCAAGAAAATCTGGAAAATGGTCCAAGTAATTTATTTCATGCTGAGAAAAGGCATCTCAAAGGGGAAATTGCTCTCCGCCCTTAACGCCATGATGAGGCGCGGCAAGATCGCCGGCAGAGAGGCCATCCACAGCCTCGTTTCCCACCACCACACGGCCGCCTCCGGCCGCCGCGACTACGAGTTTACCTGCGGCGGGAGCCCCTCCCACCGGGCGTTCCACCTCCCCTTCAGCCTTCACAGGCGCAGAAACTCCGGCGGCCACCCGCCGGCGCCGATCTCCGAGGAGGAACTGATGGCGGCCGCCGTGGAGATGGCGGTGAGCGCGGCGGCGTCGCCGGCGCTGCCCGGGTTCGGGCCGAGCCCGATGGTGAGGCGGCTGAGGGTGACGGACTCGCCCTTCCCGTTGGGGGGCGTGGAGGAGGAGAACTGCCACGTGGACGAGGCGGCGGAGGAGTTCATTATGAAGTTCTATAGGGATTTGAGGCACCAAAATTCCGTGGCGTGTCTGAGTTATTATTCTTAAACAATTTTCAATTCGTTTCTAAGTGTGATTTTTTTTTTTTTTAACATTTTGGGTGGTAATTAGTTTTGTTGCAACCATTGGATTTGTTTCTTTAGTTTATTAAAATAATAATAATAATGATAATGATAACCACTTTCTTGAAAGCTAATAAAATTTACGTGCACGTGATGCATGATTAATACTCCCTCTTATTCATAATAAGTGTCGTTTTGGGAAGTTGCACACTAATTAAGAATAATTTTTTTGTCATAACTCTTATTAATGCAGATAGAGATTGATGTTTTTTAAAAAAAAAAGATGAAGAGAATATGAAAAGACGTAATGTATTTATTAACTAAATAAGAGTAATAATGGAAAAATATGTACAAAAGATCCAAAACGACATTTATTTTGGTTAATACTCCCTCCATTTTGAAATATAAGGCGTATAAAGATTTCTCATTTTTTTTGAAATATAAGGCGCGCTCAAAAATCAAGACACATTTTTGCATTTTTTTCCAAATATACCCTCATTGTATTGAAATTAAGGAAGTGTGGAGTGGTTGTGATTAGAGTAAATAAGGTTAATTTAGTCAATTTATTCATTAATTAATGTCTCCTTAATACTTGTGCAATAACCTTAAATGCCTTATATTTCAAAATGGAGGGAGTAGTTGATAAAGCCAAAATGACATTTAAAAAGAATAGGAGGTAGTATTGTTTTATGATTTCAAATTATGTTTGGGGGATGTCTATAGTCATTTGAGGAAATGATTCCGTGTATTTAGTATTTTCTACAGTAGAACTAAACTAATCTACATGTGTATCTACGGTAGAAAGTACTGACAGAATTATTCCGTCAACGGAATTGTAGTATTTTTCTTATGTTTATATATGCATTCAATTTTTTGCATTATTATTAGTAATCAATCTTAAAAAAAAATATATTACATAATGAATTGTGTCAAATTGTAAATTCGGCCTATCAATCAACATGATTGAATTGAAACTTAAAAGGTTGTGTCCATTGACACAGCAATTTTACCTCATTCTGTTGGTAGAGCAATTTCATTTCAGACTAAATAATCTATTGTAATCCCTACTGTTAATATGACCTTCAATATTATTTATAGTAAGTTTCTTTTAAAAAAAAATCAAAATGTTAATGAAGCAATTTGAAATTAGATTATAGATAAAATAAATTATACAATATCATTGAAACATAAAAGTCCGTATTCCCCAAGGAGGGCAATACAGTATTTTCTAATTTATTTGGCCTCCAAATATAAATTTTATTTTACACAGACATCAATGTATGTCACAAAAGTTTAATGAGTTAATTATTTTTAGTTAAAGTCATAAGATTCAGTTTTCTATTCAACTACGATTCATACAAACTAAATCACATATTTTAAACAATCTTTTTTTTTTTGGCCATATCATGATTTTCAAGGTGAAATCATTTTCTTTTTTGTATCATCCGATAAACCAAATTTGTGATATTTATCATATCAATAAATATTTTCATCTTAATTTTATATTATATTTTATGCTATGGCATGAAAGTGAGGCTTATTAATATTCAATCAAAATCATACGATAAAAACACTTTATACAAAAATACAAAAATGTATATTTAGAATTCAAACTACCACCAAGCAACAATGGATCAACCATTCGGTGTCATTCGGTGCCACGATCCTTGTGGCCCGAGATCAAAAGGGTAGCGACAGCAGCAACATCTAGCTCAGTTCAAATGTGAGTAGAGATAGAGACTACAATCTAGAGACCGATCTGGAGCGCTTGAACCTCTGGGACGTTGCTCGAGGAGGCCTAAATAGGTACATGGAAGGCGACAAGAAAAGATCCACTGTGGCCCTAATCAGGCCTTCTCCTGCGGCAGCTCCACTGAGTCGATTGAAAGATCCATTGTTGTTTAGCTTAACCCAAGGGGGTCGGGTCTTAGCCGAACAACGGCTCTGGGATGGGGGGTGCTGGATAGGCGACAACGGTGTCGACACGAAGTGGTGAGACAACGTGCAACCTGTTCAGTCTTTAGGTGTGAGTCTACTTAGAGCTCTGAGGAGAGAGATATGACGATCAACCTGCAAAACAATGTGAGAAGATAAATGGGATCGAACAAGGAATAAGGAAGTCCACGTGTCTAATGTGTGTGTGCTGCGAAAAAAAAAAAAAAAAACAAAAAAAAAAAAAAAAAAACTGTCTGTGGTGGGTAAGAATATATGTGTATATGTGGCGTAATGCTCCCAAAACCTCCTCGCAACCTCGTGCTCCAAAAACAAATGGGAAAATGTCTCAGTCTGAAAATCTTCGATCTCAGTACAACAGTAACACTGCGAGGGGAAGGAGACCCCTCTCTCCTACAACATAGTAACAATCGAAATTTAAGGTTTTCATTTAAGAACCATATTTCATCTCGAATTAGAGTTTTCAATAAAAAAAATAAAAATAAAAATTCTCTTACAAGTGTAATGGTTTCCTTGAACAAACAAACATTTGCATTTGAAAATTAACACTCACCGAATTTTCGGATGGAAACCTTCTCAGGAATCATTTGAAAACTTCTATCTCCATGACTTGTTTTTGAATTTTTGAGAAAGATGGATTTGGGAACTATTCCAAATTTATGAATTCTTCAATGTGTCCTTTCATTTCCGTCCATTAATGTTAGTCTTGCAATTTGGAAATTATTTTTTTTATTTAATTTTAACACGTGATTTGTCAATTATTCTAGTCACACTGGGCTAGCTAGTCTAGTTCCACATAAGATTAAATGGACCGTCAAACATGTCACATGCAACTCACGTGACTATTTTTGTTTGAATTATGAATTTCCAGCGAGACGAGGATTTTTTATGAATTTCCGATTGGATTGCAAAAATCAAAATTTCGAGGACAAAAAAGTTAATTTGTGGAATATACCGGAACTTAAGGCTGCAAACGTGTCGAGTCGAGTCGAGCATTGACCTTATCGAACATGATTGGATTTTTTTTTTAGCTGCTCGAGCTCGACTCGATAAAAAAATACAATAGCTCGAGCTCGACTCGAATTCAAAATTCTCGAGCTCGGCTCGAGTTTGATTCAACATTTTTCAAGCAATTTTATAAAATTACCATTAAGTACATATATTAATATTATGATGCATATATATACATGGGGTATTTTAGTAATTTACTATATATCTCGAGCCATTTATTAGCCGCTCGACAAGGTAAAATATGGGTTCAAGCTCGACTCGAACCGTTTAAACTAGACTCGAGCTCGGTCAAACTCAAACTCGAGCCGAGCTTTGACTCGAGCACTTGTGAGCTGCTCTCAAGCTGCTCCACTTTTGGGCTCGTAACGGGCACGAACTTGATTCATTTTCTTCGGCTTCCATGACAAGCTTTTAAGTTTTCAGCGCAAATTAAAATTGATCGTCACATTACAATTTATATCCTTCATCCTCCTCTGAACGCCATAATCCCTCGAAAATTCTCTGCAACAAATCAACACATGCCGCATCCACGACGGAGCTCGCGACTGAAGGGTAAGGAGGCGGCGGCAAAGGCGGCAGAAGAAGCACGCTACACTCGCCAGAAAAAGCGCCGTGAAATTCGCTGTGTTTTGCCGCCTTCCCCACTCAATGTTTGTTCTTCTGAGTTGATTTTATGTCCTTTACTTTTCGTAACTCCTCCAAATTTGAAGGAAAACGTTTAAATATTGCCGGAAGAACATAACCCCTTTATATTTTACTTTATTTATTTCTGCTAAAACATGATTATGCCCTTAACAGATTTCTATTTTTATTTTTAAAGAATACTTGTGCAGGATGTGCATTCCACTGTCTGCGGAGTTTGGTCTGACAATAGCAAGTTGCAGCTAGAGGCTATTTCTCATTTGCTAAATTTGGTTTCTCTTGGTGTGGATAGTATCATACACTTCTCTCTCTCTGGGTTTTGA